GTGTGTGTGTTTAGCAGGATCCACAACTCCTGGCGCAGTTGCTCCCCATCGCCCCACACTGGCCAATGTGCGCCATTACACCACAGCGGGGGAACTGGTCACGACACAGATCCGCTGCAGGAGACAGGTCAGTTTAGTGTGTGCTCGATACACCATAACAGTACTCACACACACACACACACACACACACACACACTCACCTCTCAAGAGCTCCTCATGTGCACACACCGTCCGCACACACACCTCCTTATTGATCAAATACATTCTGCGCAGACTGACACACACACACAAAGCAGAGCCGTTAACGCATGTGAGTGCACTTGAGAACAACCACTATGGTTTTGGACACTAGAAATGGCTACTGCTTTAGGTAGTGCACTGTTAAGGGTACAGGGGGCGATTTGAGACACAGCCCTGCTTAGTTAAGCTCTAATGTGGAAAACACTGATGTCACAAAGCCAACATGCATTATGGGAGATGCAGTTTACAGTCAATATCCGATATTTAAACAATAGTAAAGCTGAGTTCACACTAAACGTGAAGCACCGCGTCACTCGCTCTAGATTCTCCATTGGAGTTGAGTTGACTGTGGTTGTAATCTACTCGCACACATCCTTTAATTCACATTTGTTGTGACTCGAATGCTCCGCGGGCCAGAAGATAGTGATATGTTGAGGTCAGCATGTTTATTTACACTGACCTGTAGAAGCAGATGCTGTTCAGACACTGTTTACACGGCTGATGGACAGAATAGAGCCGAGTGCAGGGATACTGCTCCTCACGACAGTCTGACACACACACACACACACACACACACACACACACATCAGGAGCGAGACAGCAGATTATATACCAGAAAATACACTGTTATTAGATAATAAGAGCTCATCAAAAGATTTTTAGTTTAACAAAGTTTTTAAGGAAATACAGTCAAGAATAGCTTGGCATGTTAATATAGCACACTGCTAAGTGCTAACATGTTCATAACTGCTAGTATTTATGCATAACTTAGCATGTTTCTTCAATGTTTAGCACAAGGCAAGCATGAATTAACACATTGTTAGCATGTTTAGAGTGAATTAGCATGTTATTAGCATGTTGTAACACTTAGCATAAGTTAGCATGTTGTCGCGTGAAGCACAGCTTCTGCAGTAAAACAATGAGTTTAGCCGATGTCTTTTTAAATGATAAAGCCTGATTTAACGTGTACTGAATGTTGCGCCATCAAGTGAAGCGTCTTTATGTACTCTCGCTAGCACAAACCAGTGTTACTGTTGACATATTTAGCCCATGGCTAGCATGAACAGTATGGTATTTTTATTTTTAACATGTTGCTAGCAATGTGTTAGCATAAATGAGCCAGATGCTAATATTTGTCCTGCATTTTAACACATTGTTAGCTCTTGTGTAGCTTGTTTAGCGCATACCGCTAGATGAACCAGACAGATGGGTGCATAGACTAGAAATATTACATCCAACAGAAGCTTCCCAAGGCTTCTGAGAGTTTAAAGGGCTAGTTCATCCAAAATAAAGAACATTCGGTCATCATTTACTCTCCTTTTACTTGTTCCAAATCTGTTCCAAAACAAAATGAGATATTTAGAAAAATGTTGGAAACCTGTAACTACTGACTTCCATTGTTTTTTGTTTTTCCAATGGTTACAGGTTTTCAGCGTTCTTTAAAATATCTTCTTTACTGTTTAACAGAAGCTCAAAGCTTTGTAACCACTAGCGGCGAGTAGATTTAGATATGTGTGAACTTTCCCTTTTAAGTTTATTGGCTTTACGATTGTCGTTTTTAGGAAAAGCGAACGTCCGATCAGTCTGAAAAGACATAGCCGGCCAGGTCAGAGCAGGCCGAATGACTGTGCCAAGTCTGCTGACTGTAGACGTGAGGCTGTGGGAGGAGTAGCAGTCAGAAAATGAATCTCAGAAGAAGAATTTTGAGTTTCCGCCAGAATAATGAAGTATATAAACACTGCTGGATGTCCAGGCTCAGTGACCCCGTTACTCTCTTACCCAGCGGTCCAGGTTCAGTCGGCTCTGTCTGTACATCCAGCGCTGGAATTAAAAACACCACATTGATGAAAATAAACCATAAATATGAAGGTAAATATATATAATAAAGCAGGAGGTGCTGAGTGAGAAGCGCACCGTTCTGTTCAGGCCCTGACGTCTGCGTCTGTAATATCTGCTGCTGGTCTGGGGATGAGAAACACAACAGCTGTGGTAAATATAAGATTATTAACACACACGTTCAGCTGGAGGCCGTCTGCCGCTGAAGAGATGCGCCGCTGCTGTCACTTACAGAAGAAGGGGTTGTCGTAGTTGTTGCTGTTACCTGTGGGCAGGAAGCACAGGCGATGTGTGTTTAGTGTGTGACGGACAGCAGAGAAACTCGAGTGCAGATACACACACTCACACACACTCACACACACACACACACACACTCTCACACACACTCACCGAAGATGTCTGTATAATCCTCATCATAGTTCTGCACCTGAGCCAGCAGACCTGCAGAAACACAGCAGACCGTCAAGGTGCGTGCGTGTGTGTCTGTGTGTGTGTGTGCGTGTGTTTGTGGGCGTGTGTTTGCGTGTGTGTCTGTGTGTGTGTGTGTGTGTGTGTGTGTGTGTGTGTGTGTGTGTGTCTGTGTGTGTGTGTGTGTGTGTGTGTGCATGTGTGTGTCTCACCCGGCAGTGACAGCAGAAGCAGGTAACAGAGTCTCATGGTGTCTGTGGAAACAAACAGATTGTCCTTCACTGCTGCTCGTCTTCAGTGAGGCTGATTGCAGGCCGTGTTCAGGTAAACTACAGTGTTCTGGATGTGTGTGTCAGTGTGTTCGTCTTCAGCATATCTCTAATCTAGAGGCTCTAATACAGAGACAGCATGCACATGCACACAGCTCCAGCCATGTCAGTCCAGTGGTCAATAAGCGCTCTCCATCTTCCGTCAGTGTCGCTAGAAGATGACCCCTCAGCAGAGTCACGCTCCAAATAGCAAAATGACCCAAACGCTTTCTTTTATTGGAGGGAGCGAGATGCTAACGGTCTAATCTGATTTAATGATCTACGCTAAGCTAAGCTAAAACTGCTCCTGCCAGACCGGGAGATCAGCTGAATGACTCAACAGTGGTGAAACTACACAGAGATGTAGAGGAAACCTCCCAACAACCATACTGCTGCAGAGAACTGCTGTCTGTCCGTCTATCTGTCCGTCCGTCTGTCCGTCTGTCAGTCTGTCAGTCTGTCAGTCTGTCTGTCTGTCTGTCTGTCTGTCAGTCTGTCTGTCTGTCTGTCTGTCTGTCAGTCTGTCTGTCTGTCTGTCAGTCTGTCTGTCTGTCTGTCTGTCAGTCTGTCTGTCTGTCTGTCTGTCTGTCTGTCAGTCTGTCTGTCTGTCTGTCTGTCTGTCAGTCTGTCTGTCTGTCTGTCAGTCTGTCTGTCTGTCTGTCAGTCTGTCTGTCTGTCTGTCTGTCAGTCTGTCTGTCTGTCTGTCTGTCAGTCTGTCTGTCTGTCTGTCTGTCTGTCTGTCTGTCTGTCTGTCAGTCTGTCTGTCTGTCTGTCTGTCTGTCAGTCTGTCTGTCTGTCAGTCTGTCTGTCTGTCTGTCTGTCTGTCCATCTGTCCGTCCATCCATCTGTCTCTCTATCTGTCTGTCTGTCTATCCGTCTGTGCGCCCTGTCGCGGCCCCTGAGACTCCTGCACTCCTCTATTGTGCTGTTTTTTTTTCTTCTTTTCTCAGAACCGACCCTCCAGCGCCACACACACACACACACACACACACACACACACACACACATTCCTGTCTGTCTCTCGCTTCACTTCCTAGAAGACTTTTCTGCACTCTTCATTTCCCTTCTCCTCTTCTGTCTCTCTCTCTCTCTCGTTTTCTGACCTCCTGGTGAGACGAACACACACACACACACACACACACTCATTCAAGACATATTTCTTCAGCTTGTAATATCAAACCATTAATAGTCATGCAGACATTGATCTGTTTAACAGAACACACACACTCAATGTAAATACAGTCTGTGTGTGTGTAGACATTCCTCAGCGTGTGTGTGTCTGTGTGTGTGTGAGTGTGTGTGTGTGTGTGTGTGTGTGTTGTAGCATATGCTGTACCTCACATCTGGGAGTCACTAAACCCCCACAAGACCCTCCCCCAACACACTCTCCCACACGCGCACACACACACACACACACACACACACACACACACACACACACACTCCTGCTCTCTTCATTAACTCTCATCTGTCTCGTTAAAACAAGTTTTTGTTCACTCTGTGTTGTCTTTCTGCAGGAAACTCCTCATCTCTGCACCTCAGAGGAATGTGAACTCATTAAGCGCTTCAGTCGCAGCTCTGAGAACCCAGCAGTGTAGCGACATGCAGGCTAACACACACACACACACGCACACACACACACACACACGCACACACACGCCTCCTCTAATGTTTACATGAATGTTCTGATGATAATATGAGGAATGGATCGCTCACCTCTGACTC